ATAAGACAAGGCGGTTGCAATCACAGAGTGTAGGTTTCTTTAAACAGATGAGTTTTGAGTTTGACTTTGAAATGTGGCAGTGAGTCTGTATTACAAATATCAGGTGGGAGTGAGTTCCAGAGCTGGGGAGCAGGGCATTCAGCTCTGGAACAAGACGGGCAAGGGGAACAATGAGATGAATAGAAGAAGAGGATCTGAGGGTACGAGCGGGTGTAGCAATGTGAACAAGGTCCGAAAGGTATGGAGGAGCGAGGGGGTGGACAGCTTTGAAGGTAAGAAGGAGTATTTTGTAGTTGATGCGATATGGGAAGGGAAGCCAATGAAGTTGTTGTAAAACAGGTGTGATGTGATGGATTGATGGGGTCCGTGTAATAATACGAGCAGCTGAATTTTGGACCAGTTGTAATTTATGGAGGGTTTTCTGAGGTAGGCCAAAAAGAAGAGAATTATAATAATCTAAACGAGAGGTGACCAGACTGTGGACCAGAACAGCAGTGGAGTGAGGAGTGAGGGAAGGACGGAGACGATTAATATTTCGAAGGTGAAAGTAGGCTGACCGAGTGATATTATTGACATGAGAGGAAAAGGAGAGGGTGCTATCAAGGATGACACCCAGACTCTTAACATGATGGGAGGGAAAGATGGAAGTGTTATCAACCGGAATGGAAAAGCTATGTTGATTTGCTTTGTTTTGTTTTTTTGAATGTCCAGAGGACCAGATTTAACTTTTTTAGATTTTTCTACCTGGATTATTGAGCAAGCATCAGGAAAAGCTATGAAGTTTATTTAGTATTGATTTAGTGCCAATTAAAAGAAGTTCTGTTTTATTGCAATTAAGTTTAAGAAAGTTTGAAGTGAACCAGTGTTTTATTTCAAACAGACAATCCATGAGGGACGAAGGTGGAAGTGTTGAGTTAGGTTTGGTTGAGAGATAGAGTTGGGTGTCATCCGCGTAGCAGTGAAACTGAATATGATGTTTGCGAAAAATGAAACCAAGGGGGAGAAAGTAAATGATAAACAACAAGGGTCCCAGGACAAAGCCCTGTGGAACACCTGAGGTAACAGAAACAGGATGAGATATGGAAGATTTTAACTGAACAAACTGAGTGCGACCTGAAAGGTATGACTGGAACCAGTTGAGAGGTGTACTTACAATGCCAATTTACCCTGTTCCAGAGTGATGGGATGCATCAGGGTAAGAAAAGAGGCAGGTGAAGTGATGCACCCATCATGCCTAGTGTCTAGTCATCATTGCAAGATCTTGGTGAAAAATTAATGCAACACTGGATGGAAATAGATCTTGTGACGACATTGTGGAAGCTTATTAAAACAATGCCACAGACAATGCATGCTAAATTCAAAGCTAAAGGTGGTCCAACAAAATATTAGTGTGTGACCTTTTTTTGGTGGCAACTTTTCTTTTTTCGCCAGGCAGTGTATTTCATCTAGAGTTGTTATATTAAAAAGACTGAAAGAAAGACACATTGCATGCACAGACTGGCAGGTTGTCTGGGCTAGGTCTTCAAAGAAGCTGCTGAAAATGAGTATTCCTAGACTGAGGATGTGTATTCCCCCTAAACCTGGAGGAATACACATCCTCAAATCTGGGGTACATTAGTAAATGTGCTGATGACGTCACCACCATCAGATATGTTAAGAGTTACCCAAACAAAAAGCCTTGGCTGAATGCAGAGGTTTGCACCCTGCTAGAAGCCAGGAACACTGCCTTTAGGTCTAGCAACCCACAGGAGCTGAGAAGGACAAGGAAAGAGCTGGTTTCTGGTATTAAGAAGGCCAAGGCTACATATGAACAGAAGATCCAGGGTCAATTCAACTCACAAGACCCACAGAGCATGTGGAGGGACATTAAGTGTATAACAGATTATAAAGGAAGAAGTGAACAAGGCCCTAGAGACCCATCACTGCCTGATGCCCTCAACAGGTTCTACGCATGCTTTGAAGACCCAAACAGACCACCCAGCACCAGATTCACCTCACCATCGGAAGAAGAGTTTCTCAGCATGACCTCAGCTGAAGTGAGGAGTACTTTCAAGAGGATTAATTCCCAAAAAGCAACTGGCAGGATCTACAACTTCTTCTCCTCCACCATAACCCTCAGCACTGGCTCCCCTCAGGGCTGTGTGCTGAGCCCTCTCCTGTTCACTCTGCTCACATAAGACTGTGCCCCTACCCATCCAGGCTGTCACATTGTAAAGTTGCAGATGTTACAGCGGTGGTGGGATGCATCACAAACAACCATGATTCCAGCTACAGGCAAGAGGTGGAACACCTGGAGAGCTGGTGCAGGAAGAACAACCTTCACATCAATGTGAAGATGAAGGAGACGGCAGTGGACTTCAGATGGAACAAACACACCTACACCCCCTGAACATAGGAAGATCTGCGGTGGAAGTGGTCTCCAGCTAAAAGTATTTGGGTGTGCACCTGAACAACAACCTCAGCTGGAGCAACAACACCACCAGCCTGCTCAAGAAAGCTCATCAGAGACTCTACTTCCTCAACTGGCGGTCTGAGAAGCTCAGTCCTCACCTCCTTCTACAGGTGTGCAGTGGAGAGCATCCTGTGCTCCAGCATCAACGTGTGGCATGGAGGCTGCACAGCTGCAGAAAGAAAAGCTTTGCAGAGAGTGGTGAAGGCTGCACAGAAGATGTTGGAGTCAGTCTCCCCACCATCACAGACATCTACACCTCCAGATGCAGGAAGAGGGCCACCTGCATCATGAAGGACCCCACCCACCCAGCACACACACTTTTTGCCCCACTCCCCTCAGGAAGGAGGTTGAGGAGCATTAAGTGTAGAACCACTAGACTGAGGAACAGCTTCTACCCTGAGGCTGTTAGACTCATGAATCTCTAACCAGAATAATCACTGTGAAAAATCACATCA